CTAGGTTAGACTGAAAATATGTCTGTTTTTGTGCTGCTGGCCTTGGTGTAAAGATTGTCTTGCAGATGTCACATCTTTCATCTTGGATCCTAAAGGCAAATAAGTCTCCCGAAGTTAGACAACATGGTCTGAGTGTTCTAACCTCAGAGTCAGCCTAGACCCCTTTCAAAGTGTTTCTCACTCTGTATAACTTCTTTTCTGATTAACTCAAAAGAAAGTGATTTGACACTTCAATTACACTTGCAAAACTCTTTCCCAACAGTACTTCAACCACTATATGTATGAATACCTGGGAAAAAGGTGTGTGGGCTACAGAAAAGCTATTTCCTCCTTTCTGCTCTTGTGACTCTTCTGCCTTTAGACTAGTGCTCTCTCACTGGAAACAATTCTAGGGAATTTTAGGAAATACAATTCATCCTAGCCAAATAGGCATATCAAAAAGCCATCTCAATGGTGTTCGTATTTTCAGGGAAGGCCAGGGAAATCTTTTCCTTTTTTTTCTAGAATGAGAGATGTCATAAACTCTGGTCCCAGGAATGGCATTCAGTTACTAGGTGCCTGAAATTGTCCAATTCAGCAACCACTTAAGTTCCCTGTAATTCATCCTTGATTTCACTTTTAAAATTTAAAAATAAAAGCAACAACAAAAAGGCAAAATAGCAACAACAAACATCTCTAATCTAACAAATAATCCGTTGCTATATCAGACCTCTATTTATCATTACAAATCACTTCAAAAGTTAGTGGTTTGAAGCAGCAGTAATTCAACCTTTTGTTCTTTTTCTTCTTTCCTTGGCTCTTTTTTGACTATAGAGCCAGTTGCTCTGATCATCTCAATGGAATGCCCATTCTATTTTTTAGAATGATGTGATTCTTAAAGTGCAAATAAGCTGATGGAGTGGCACAAGTGGTAGAGTGCCTGTCTAGCAAGTGTGAAGCTCTGAGTTCAAGCCCCAATACCGCCAAAAAATGTTAACTTGCAAATAAAAGACAAATAAAATCTTAAAGTAAATTTCCTATAATTTCATCTGAAGACATCATGAAAGTGACAGTGACATCTAAGATTAGGTTCAAAGGATTGACTCTTTTTTGTCACATCTGCCTTGGGAGTCCTGAGTCACAATGCAAGAAATAACCACAGAGAGAAATAAAGTAGAAATAGACACTGAGATTATGATAGGAGTTAGGAAGTCTTAAAGAGTCAAGGCTATAGAAGGTAAGTTCCAACTATTTGTGTGAACTCTTCAAGTCTCAGCTGATTCCTACACCATGCATTGTTGAAGCCCAGCTAAAAGAAACATATTGGGATTCAGCTGTCATTACCCACAGTGAATACTTAGCAATGAAACTTTCTACTTACTTTTATTTTTGAAAACCAAAAATAGATTTCATTAAATTACATTATAGTCATATTTCTTGTGCATTCTTATTTGTAGCATGGTTCCAAATACTTTTATTAATTATAGTCTTAACCTAAGTAGTGAATTTCTCTTGTACAGAGATAACTGGAAGTAGGTAATTGAGGACTATTAAAAAACATCAGCAAAATTCTCAAGCTCATATATATATATATATATATATATATATATATATATATATATTATGCTTTCTACTTATAGAGAAGTCATGCACATATCTCATAAACTTGCTTGAACTGGCACCAGAATTCTATCTATGTTTATTAATGTATCCAAGAAAAGTAATCACTCCATAATATATAAAAATAAAAACTATATATGTATATTTATATTTATGTATGTGTATGTGTGTATATATGTGTGTGTGTGTGTTTGTTGGTACATTTCAATATTACATTTTACCCCCAAATTATCAAATTGTTTCCTTTTATTTACTAAATATAATATCAATCTAAGGTCTTACATTCAAATAAAATGTAGGAAATCAAAATAATGTATCACAAAAATAATTACTGTTGAGATGCAGATATTTTCATAAATATTATTCAGTTTATTTGAGCACATGCTTTTATAATTTTTTTTGTTTTGATTGTGTGGGCATACTGTTAGTTTATTAGGAACCAGTATAAGAAGCTTAGAAAATTCAAATTAATAGCACTAAATCTTATAAAAAAATAAAACACATACCACACTGGAAAAAATCATGGAGAATCAATGGTATCAAGGCTGTCTACTTTGAGGAAAGGATAGATTGCATGAACTTGGTTTCCTATAGAAAAATGTTCCTGAAATAGAAGTTTGTGTTGAAAAGAATTTAGATTTTATTAACGTTGGTCAAGGTCCATTTAAATTTTGTCTACTTTACATAAATTCAGATGTTTCTTTTCTTAGTATGACTTGGAAGGGTGGTTAGGCAAAACACACTTTTTGCCAGGGCTCGGGATCAAATCAAGGGCCTCATGCACACTAGGTAAGAATTGTAGCACTGAGCTACATCCCTAGAGTAGGGAAGAGTGTTAGATATATTAAAAACTCTCCTTTGTCATATCAATCCATATATCTATCTATAGTTTACTCCAAGTCTGGAAAGTATTTTTATTTTCTTGATGGTGTCATTTTATGAAGCCTAATTCATCACCCTTTTCCTTTCATGGTTATCTTTGTTTATTGTATCTGCATGTTTTTGGGAGAAATCTTTGCCAATTTGAAAGTCACAAACTATCCATTTTTGTCTACATGTATTATTATATTTTTATTTGGGATTTATGATAACCTAAAATTACTTATGTGTGGTATGCAGTAAAGAACTTTCCATACTGTCATTCAATTTTCAACATCTTTTATTGAAATAGATTTTATTTACACTTTAATGGCTCTGGTGTGTGTTGGAAAAGTGTTTAAAATTTTGGTACAGATGAATTTCTTATTTTTAAATTTTATGCATTATGCTTTTGGTATTACGTATAAGATGTTTTTCTAATCTAAGTTTAAAAACTTTTCTTCTACTTTTTTTCTGAACGTTATATAGTTCTAGTTCTTATATTTAGGTCTAAGATCAATTTTAAGTTAATTTTTGTACATGGTATGAAATAATGTCCAAAACTGATCTTTGGAGTAGAGATGTGGCTCAACTGGTAGAGTGCCTGCTTTGTAGACACAAAGCTCTGAGTTCAAACCCCAGTCCTGCCAAAACCAACAGCAACAAAACTCATCTTTATGTGTGTTAACACTCAGCCTTCTTAGTACTGTTTATTGAAAAACTAATAATTTCTCATTGATTTGCTTTTATCCTTGCTAAGAAACAATTGGCTGTGAATGTAAGTATAAAATTCTGGACTCTCAATTGTGTTTTATTTGTAAATATGTCTGTCTGTGCAATGGAAAAGCCACACCGTCATAATGCAACTTTGTAATGAACCTTAAATTACAGACTGTACTCCTCAAATTTTATTCATTTTTTTCATTCTTTTCTATAATTTTAGTGATAAAATTTTCACTTTCTATTTTAAAAAAAGCCTGTTTAGATTTGATAGGGATTGCATTCAATGTATCAATGGCCTCTTCACATAAAAGACTCCCTCTGCTGGATTTCAGTTCAGCTTGTCTTCCTTGCTTGAAGAGCTTTCTGATGAATTTAAAATATAATTTTTGCTCTTATCCTAGTTGTTGCAAGAGGATATGTTGCTTTCATCAAATTCCTCTATATTGTTCACAAGTGGAAGTTCTTGCAAGTGCTCTATATCATCAGTACCTCAAGGTAGCTTTTAAATATGAAGAACACAGGATCAAATGAATATTTCATGCCCGATTCCTACACCATGCCAAACAGCAAAATGTGGAAGCTTTTTATAATATTAGTATACTAATTCCTCCCAAAGATCACTTAGTTTACTGATGACTATACTGAAGCAGAGAACAGTTATGCAAGAGACCCATACCACAACTGTATGAAGCAAGAATCTGGTTTTCTATCCTTGTCACATGATTCCAAAATCCTCTCCTGAAAGCAATTATAGTATAAAACCTGAAGAAGAATAAAATCTATGACTTAATGCTTCTTTTAATATTTATTAATCTTAAAAAATTAAAACATCAAAAGTGAGTTAAGTGGGGAAAAATAAAACTGAATATGAAGTTTATTCATATAAGTTAGGACTTATATGAAGTCTTAACTCTATAATGGAAAAGCACATGCTTTAAGTCACTTAGAAAATTAGTTTATTTTAATTAAATATTTAATATTCAAATATTAATTAGACTGAAGAAAGTTAACTACACCAAAAGTCTAAACATGCAGCATATGTTTAAAAATATTAATAATGGGCTGAAATGCCTGAAGGTAAAAATGGATATTTAAATATAGATTACTTCCCTGAAACATAGTTTTTACTTTGGAGAATATAGGATAATCATTCCTTCTATCCATTTGTGTGTGTGTACACATGCATGCACATACACTTCTAAATAATAAAATTATACATAGGTACCAGTTATTGGCTATCAGGTCTTAAAGAGTGTTGGTCTTCCGGGGCTAACCAAGAAAACCTTTACTCCTTCTGATTTGAAAATATGAGATTCATTATATATAAATCTGCCATTAAAAATGAATATATAGTGGGGATGATTCTGGATATAACCAAGCTTCTTTAAATCATTTATGCCCTTTGTATTGAGTTCTAAAATTTTAATTTCAAGCCACTAAATTTGACAAACACAAATGATGGAGAGGTGAAACAAGGAAAAATTGCAAACGGTGAAACAGAATATGTCTTCATTTGCATGGTAGCAAATGAGAATGCAGCTTTCACTCCAGTATCAGCTATGAAATATAACCAGCCTATGGCAGGGTATATGAATAAGGCTAATTTGAGTTCTTTTTGGAAAGCTGTTTTCCATAAAGACTGCACTGAATTCATTCACTAGCATATTGTCAAACTTTTCTGCTTGACACTGGTCACAAAATTTAAAAGAAAGAACTTCATTGCAAATCAGTAAGTCAAGACACACAGAACTTAAAATCAGTGCATGAAAGGAATATCGACAAATTATAGTAGATCTAATTTTTTTTCCTTTTTTTCTCTTTGCTCAGACATGATAAGTTTCCTACAGAGCATTATAGCCATCACAACAATTGCAGAGTTTGTTTTGGGAAATTTTGGCAATGTCTTCATAGCACTGGTGAACTGCCTTGATTGGGTCAAGAGACAAAAGATCTCCTCAACTGATCAAATTCTCACTGCTCTGGCTGTCTCCAGGATTGGTTTGCTTTGGGTAATATTTATATATTGGTATTCAATTGTGTTTAATTTAGCTGTATATTATAGTCAAATAAAACCTAATCTTTTTATTGCCTGGTCAGTAACAAACCATTTTAGCACCTGGCTTGCGACTATACTTACCATATGTTATTTTCTCAAGATAGCCAATTTCTCCAACATTACTTTTCTTCACCTAAAGAAGAGAGTTAAGCGAGTCATTGTAGTTGTACTTTTGGGGACTTTGGTGCTTTTGTTTCCTAATTTGGTGATGATAAGCATACATGAAATAATGCTTGTGAATGAATATGAAGGGAATGTGACTTGGAAGGTCAAATTGCAGGACATTGTAGAACTTTCAAATTTGACTGTATTCACTCTAGTGAACCTCATACCTGTTTTTATATCCCTGATGTGTTTTCTATTGTTAATCTACTCTCTCTGTAAACATCTCAGGATGATGAAGCTCCACGGAAAAGGATTCCATGATCCCAGCACTGCAGTCCATATAAAGGTTTTGCAAACTGTGATTTCATTTCTCTTGTTATTTACTATCTACTCTCTGTGTATAATGATACCAAGTTGGAATTCTCATAAGCCATCAAGTGAGTGGCTTGACTTGTTTTTCCAAAATATTGGACTCTTATATCCTTCAAGCCATTCATATGTCCTGATATGGAGAAACAAGAAGCTCAGACAAGCTTTTCTGTCAGTTCTGGGGCAAGTGAGGTTCTGGCTGAAAGAATGGAATCCTTCACGTCTGTAACTGTCTAAACAGTTACAGACTGTTATAAGTCTGTATATGGTGTGACACCTAGCATAGACCAAACTGGTGCAATTTGTGCCATTTTATGCTTCCTACCACTTTTTCAGTAGTGAATGTATTTGATTAATTTCTAAAGATATTCCTAGAAAGTCTTTTTTCTAGCTTCATTAAATAAGAGCTTATTTGTGTTTGCATGCATATATGGAAAACATAAGGTTGTCAATAACACAATATTTTGATACCTAACATGGAATTACATAAAAGGAGCTAGAATATTTTTCAGAATTATGAAGCTAGGAATAATTCACACACATAATTTATTATCCTCTTCCTGACAAATTTATTATCTTTACTTATGTATTATATGTATCAAATCAGTGCTGTTTTCCATTATTTTTTGTATCACTTACATGTATCAATGTGTGTTTAGGTTTCAGTGTTTGAATTTCTACCTTTTTTGGATGTCAGCTATATCCAGTTCTAAATTAAATATCAATGATGTATATTTGAAGTAGAGTTTAGTTTTTTAATGAATTCTTATATCATATTTAATAGACAGTGAACATAATCATTATAAGAAAATATGCACTTAATAAAATTTAAGTATAACAAACATATTTAGAGTAAATTTGGTGTATCAGTATCATAAATAGTACCATAAAACTATTAGGTTTAATACAAATAGTTGAAAAGCTTAGCAAAATACTATCTCTCTAATAAGGGAGGGCAGTGATCATGATCTGGTTTCAATACTATACAACTGTATACACCTCTGAAACTAATTTCTTGTACTTGTTGAAATAAGGAAGAACATTTTTGAAGTTAAGATTTGATTTTAAATATTTCATGGTTTTCCTAAACTACATCTGGGCCTCTGAATTTTTAATCATTTTCTTTGTTTTTCTATCTTAATAGTAGACTCACTCTAATAACAGAATACAAATCATTACACATAACTCATTAGCCTTTCTGAAGCCATTAGTATAGCAAGTATAAGATGCACCTGATAAATATAAGGAATATCTTAAAGATGCGGTATAGTTTATTCTTGTGTAAAATGTGGAAATGAAAATTTTGACTTAATCATTAATGGCAAGTTATATTATAACAATGAAATATATAACTGAACTCTAATCACAATAGTAGCTTTGGGTTTGTGAGACTTCAGCATTATTATCTAAAATCTGCCATAGTTCATCTACACAACGGGTTTATTTATTTGTATTTATCATTTATATCCCTCAGCATCATTGATGTCAAAATGAAGTTTTGCTTACGTTTATTCCCAACACCAGGAATCCAGCACAAAGTCAATTTTCAAATGATATTTTGCTGGATAAATAAATGGATGGATGAATGAATAAGCTATAGGAGAGCTGGTAACCAACAAAAATAAAACCCATCACCAAATCTGCAGATTGCGTGGATTTCTTGGTTCTGTTTTCATTTTGAGGTTATAGTATTATAAAAATAGAAGCATTTTTCAGAGAAAAAGACTGGCTTCCATAATTCTGTGAGGATATCACTACATATAGCCATGACACAGCTGTATGAGAAGTATGAAGTGAACACAAGTCAGAACACCATCATTAGGTGGCGTTTATGAAAATGTAGTAGTAAGTTTTGTATTGTGAATTGTGCAGCATTATGGTATTTTCTGTCTATAAATAAATGTCTATAAAGTAAATGTCCTTTACTTTTTTAAAAGTTTAGTTAGTACCCAGCTTCTTTTCTTTTTTTATTATATTATTGGTGTACTGGGGGTAAGTTGTGACATTTGCAAAAATTCTTACAATATATCATAGTTGAATTTATCCCATCCATCATTCTCCCTTATCCTCCCCTCCTGCCATTCCTGGAATAATTTCAACAGGTCTCATTTTTCTATTTTCATACATGTGTACATAATATTTACACTTCATTCACCCTTCTACATCCTTTCCTTATATCCTCCCCACTCCCTCTGGTATCAACCACCAGACAGTACTTGTTTTACCTTCCTGTTCTGCCTTGTTTTTTTTAAAGGCATCTTTGTTTGCTTAAGATAGCTATACAGGGAGTTTCATTGTGACATTTCCACATACATATGTATTATAACCTGAATTGGTTCTTTCTCTCTACTTTTGTCCTTTCTACCTTAGTCTCCTTCTTATGATGATTTCAACAAATTTAAAAATCATTATTCTTTTAATTGAACCCAATGCCTTGGGCTTGCTAGGCAAATGCTCTTCCATTGAGCTACACCTTCATATTAACCAGCATCCTTTTTAACATGCTACTTTGATATATTTTTTCTAGTAACCTTTCTCACTGAACATTTTACGCCCATATTAAAAATAAAAATCTTAAAAATCAATGAATATGTTAGCTTGGGGCTCCTAAAGCCATATAAATGATGATTTGTTGGGGGGGGGAGTCAGATCCAGGAAGAAATCAGGAAGACATGAAAATTGAATCAAGAGAAGTGAAGTAATGTGATGTGATGTATGATTCTTCTGGTGGTCACTTTAATGAGCTGGGAGACAGCATGTGTGTTCATGTCCCTCAGGTCTTTTCCAAGAGGGTATAAGGGGGAAATGTATCTCACATGAATTCATGAAAGAGAGAGAGGAGTAGCTATTGAACATCTCCAGTCTCTGTTATCTTGTATTATCCATTGACCAGGGGTTACCCAGAGTAGAACCAACATCTCTCCTTTATCACCTGACCATTTACAAATTAGAGAGCTCATGCTCAGAGTATGAATTTTCATTATAGAGAAAAATATAAGGATACTCACACAAACTATTGACTAAAAGAATAAGAGACACACAGGGCATCTGAGGACACATTTGTGTCCAATACACCTCATTCCTTGTGCCATTTAGATGTACTTCAATACCCTCAAACAGTAACTGGCTTTATGAACATATGATGTGTGCAGCTGTAGAAGGTCTTTTGCTTAGAGGGACCCTATTCTTGTTTTAACACTCATTTTTCCTGTTTTGCATCTCATAAGCAGGGTACTTCTACACTGAAGAATCAATGGTCTTGCACTATTTCATTAGTGGTATGGTCACCCTTTTTCATATGAGTTACGTCATTGATATGCATTGTTTTTGTAGAGACTACTGCTCACCTCAAGGTGGGTAGGAAGTAGAGAAAGGGACTGGGGACCAGGTATAAGTTTCAAATGCATGCCCCCAGTGACCTACTTCCTCTGGCTAAGTCCCATCTCCTAAAGTTTCCACAACCTACACAAATAGCACCACCAGCTTGGGACCAAGTGTTCAGCACATGAACCTGTGGTCATTTCATATTTAAAGTTTAAAATTATGTCATGGGACTCCAAAACTCATGGATATCTCATAATGCAAAATGCATTCACTCGATCTTCAAAGATACCTGAGGTCTTTTTTTTTTATCTCTACTTCCTGCATTTATTTTTTTATTCATTTATTCATGCATACATTGTTTGGTTTATTTCTCCACCCTCCTCCCCCTCAGTTCCAGGCCGGTCCTGTTCTGCCCTTATCACTAATTTTGTTGAAGAAAAGACACAAGCATAATAAGGAAGACAAAGCGTTTTTGTTAGTTGAGTTAAGGATAGCTATACAGAGAGATTCCTACCATTGCTTTCGTGTACCCATGTGTTGCGACCCATGTTGATTCATCTCTAACTGATCTTTACACTGGTTCCTAATCCCCTTCTCATGATAATCTCTGTCACTTTAAGGTTTCTGTATTAGTTCTTCTGGCGTGGGGACACCAAACGCTTTCATGTTTTGGGTTTTCTACCTATTCTTATATCTCCTGTATGTGCTCTCACCTTGTCATGTGATCCAAGTCTGCATTTGCCCTTGATCTAAAGTCTGTATATGAGGGAGAACATACAATTTTTGGTCTTCTGAGCCTGGCTGACCTCGCTCAGAAATATGCTCTCCAGTTTCATCCATTTACCTGCAAATGATAAGATTTCATTCTTCTTCATGGCTGAGTAAAATTCCATTGTGTACAACTACCACATTTTCTTGATCCATTCGTCAGTAGTGGGGCATCTTGGTTGTTTCCATAACTTAGCTATTGTGAATAGCACTGCAATAAACATAGATGTGCAGGTGCCTCTGGAGTAACCTGTGTTGCATTCCTTTGGGTATATCCCCAGGAGTGGGATTGCTGGATCATATGGTAGGTCTATGTTTAGATTTTTAAGAAGTCTCCAAATTTTTTTCCAGAGTGGTTGCACCAGCTTGTATTCCCACCAGCAGTGGACTAGGGTTCCTTTTTCTCCACATCCTCGCCAACACATGTTAGTGGTGTTTTGATGATGGCTATTCTAACAGGGGTGAGGTGGAATCTTAGTGAGGTTTTGATTTACATTTCCTGTATGGCTAGAGATGGTGAGCATTTTTTCATGTGTTTTTTGGCCATTTGAATTTCTTCTTTTGAGAAAGTTCTGTTTAGTTCAGTTGCCCATTTTTTAATTGGTTCACTGATTTTAAGAGAGTTTAGTTTCTTAAGTTCCCTGTATATTCTGGTTATTGGTTCCTTGTCTGATGTATAGATGACAAATATTTTCTCCCACTCTGTGGGTGGTCTCTTCAGTTTAGAGACCATTTCTTTTGTTGTGCAGAAGCTTTTTAGTTTTATGAAGTCCCATTTATTCATCCTTTCTCTTAGTTGCTGGGCTGCTGGGGTTCTATTGAGGAAGTCTATGCCTATATCTATTAGTTCCAGAGTGTTTCCTGCTCCTTCCTGTAGTAACTTCAGAGTTTCAGGTATGATAATTAGGTCCTTGAGCCATTTTGAGTTGATCCTAGTACAGGGTGATAGACATGGATCTAGTTTCAATTTCTTGCAGATGGGTAACCACTTTTCCCAGCAACATTTGATGAAGAGGCTGTCTTTTCTCCATCGTATATTTTTTGGCACCTTTGTCAAAAATGAAGTGGGTATAGTTGTGTGGATTCATATCCGGGTCCTCTGTTCTGTTCCACTGGTCTTCATGTCTGTTTTTGTGC